AAAGAGAAAGGTAAGCCTCGCCCATTGTAGTGCCAACCATCTCAGGCAATTATTTCTAAAAGAAGGTCACACGGTCTGAGAAAATATATAATATACTTCTGAAAGAAGAAGAAGAAAACAGAAAATTGGCATTAATGCTAACTAATGTCATGATGGGATGTCGGTTGGCAACTTTATAATCCAATTAGCAAGCAATTATACGTCTTATTCACCTTCTTCAGCTCTCAGGGATTAGGCTTTTAAGCAAGTTCCGATCCAAACTTCATTCTGGAACGATGGAAGCTGGGACTTCTTAGACTCCGGGTCGAGATTTGAACGGGGAAAACCGGAATTCGAAATTGGATTGCTAATTTCTAGATCACCACGCTCGGGTCGAAAAATATGAAAGATATAAATAATAATTGTTAATAGTTTTCCATTATTTATTATTTAGTGTTCTGTCTAACGACAGGTCCATATGAACAGGATCCTTCCATCCTTTTCTCGGACTGGGACCTGTTCATATACGTTCTTGGCAGATGATCCAGAAGTGGTTTGCCATTGCCTGCTTCTGTGTGTGAATAGAGTAATTGTTGGGATGCCACGGAGAAACCGGGGAAGCCCCCGGTTTTTTTTTTTAGTGTTCTGTCTGACGACAGGTCCATATGAACCGGATCCTTCCCTCCTTTTCTCGGACTGGGACCTGTTCATATACGTTCTTGGCAGATGATCCAGAAGTGGTTTGCCATTGCCTTCTTCTGTGTGTGAATGGAGTAATTATTGGGATGCCACGGAGAAACCGGGGAAGCCCCCGAAGGAAAACTCCGTGTTGCCTAGACCACGGCCTTACCCAACACAAGTTATAAATTCGGGCACCGCCGGTAATCGAACCCGAGACCCCAGGATTACAAGGCCAGCGTTCTAACCGCTAGACCACCGTGGCGGTCAGTTTTCCATAGGAGAAAATAATGATGTACCTGGCATGACTCTATGTAGCTCAAATTTAGACGATTACTACCTGTTTCCTATGAATTTAACAATTCACAGGGAACACGAAAGGAAGTTTCGAACCCGGTACCCGCCGAACATGAAAGATATTGGTAACCATTCCACGTAGATATTTTGTGAGCTTCAAGGGTCTGGGGCTCATCAAGTGAAGGTAATGTAGTTGAAGCTAATATAATCAGAGTTAAGTCATGTCTGGTAATGATGTTTAGAGACTGAAACACGCCAAGAAAAACTTGTCAGATTAAAGTGACCCAAGATTAGGCAGCTGGTCTTTCATGGGACCTAGGAATGACATGACATTCTCCCCTAATTACATAACTTCCCCCCCCCAAGCATTGTTATCTTGGCGTGCGCGCATCTCCTAACCATTAGAAGTCTAAAGCGAAATTAGACTATTAATCCAAATCTAGATCCCTGTTCTTCAACAATAGAATAAATATGACTATCGTAACAACATTCCAAGAAATGGAGTCATTTTTCTTGGCCCATCATGTATGCCTTTGTAATCAGATTAGCTGTCAAAACGATAAGCAAGATACAACAGCCATATGGTCTCATCAAGGGGCAATCCGCTTACACAAGCCTCAGGAGATTATGAACACATATCAGTACTACTGACCGCAATAAACATGGCGTTGACCAAATATAAAGAATTACTTGTGTTACCATCGCAGTTCAGCTCCATGGGAGGTTTCAAACTCGGAGCATAATAAATCTTTTCCTGCTTGTTCTACCTTCCCCTCCATTCTTCTCTCCACCGAGTCTTAGCCTGATTTCCTGAACCCATTCATAACTAATTAACGGTAATATGAAATCCAAGTCTGAACAGCTCGACAAAGGGCACTGTTTGAACCACCTCAGTTAGATTCATATCGACACAAACCACCGTACACACCCATTTCCAACCTCTACAGTTCTTATAAACACGTAATTTTACACATTTCAGACGCGTTCATAACCTTACAAGAATTTATTAAACCCACCCTGACGCTCTGTTAGTTTGTACGTTTGTATCATCTCGGAACGGCTAAACGGATTCCCATACAATTTTACACTGGGGCGTTTTCTTAAAATGGTTAAATAAATTCCGGTTTTCGTTAAAATCAGACAAAAATAACCACCAATTTGCACGAAGACATGCGTTTGTTGGTGCTGATAGAACTGCGTGGAGAATCCCCAGCGTGGAAAATTTCCAGCCACGCAACAGACACAAAATAATGTGTTTATACAAAACACGACTCACCATTAAACACGCAGTAATTTGTGGGTAAGGAATTAAGTATCTATACAGCTGGCGAGTGTGTCTTGTATGCAGACATTTTCTGCAGATCGGAAATACAAGGTGACAGAATGTTTATTAATTTTACTTTACTCGTTCAGCAAAGAAGAAAATAAAAATACGTTGACATGGTACGAAGTAAATCACTAATGAAAGAAACCTGAGACAATTACCTTGTGCTGGCATCGACAGGTGGCATAAAATCACCTCCTCCCCGCCAATATCTGTGATTTCTTTTTTAAGTTTTCAGTTTACTTCATAGTTTTGTAGAGTACCCTGCTTACGTTGTCTCGTCTTTCTAAATTCTAAAATTAAGTTCGGCGCTTACTCTAAACTTAACAGCATTTCTGATTAGAGTTCAAAAACTACATTGATATAGTGACCCATGAATTATTCAGTCTCAGAATGATTTTCTAACACCTCTCGATGATTTTTCTTTCACCAATCGGCTTATTATTCATAAATCATTTATGAACACTACGTACAATGCTCTACCAACTGCAGTGGTTAATTCCGAGCGCTCCAGGCACCGCCAACTTCACGAATGAATTTTCGGCGAAACCAGGATTTGGTGTAGAACAACGGCGATCACTTACAGCAGCTGCTTCTAATCGTGACAAGTTCTTTAGTTTCTTGTGAATTATTTTTTCGTGGCCCCAGACCTATTCTTCAAAACCTTTGTTAGAGGAAACCGTTTCTCCAGATTCCTTCAAGATAAATATTTCGCCTTACCCTGTCTCCAAATCAGAGGCAAAGTACGTCTTGAACGAGATAAAGAGTTCACTGGCTAGATAATCATTCTATCATTGCATGACGATACAGGCGAAGAACGTAAGACGTCGATATTAACGTCCAGACCAGGATCCGAATCTGCATCGCGTGAGGTCTGCAAAAGAGCTACGCGAGACAGTGTCTTGCGGAACGTATTTTGATTAATGGACACGTGCCGTTATAGGTCCGTTTATGGCCATAGCATTGGGGGTACGGCCAGACTTGCCACAGAGCTCACTACATTAACGGCACGTACAAGAAATCCAACCAGAAACAATGGAAAAGCTTTGTTTTGTCAGTAGTGATCGCCCGATTCCAATACGCTTCATCGTATACTACGATCTTTGTGTTCCGAGCAGTCATTGCCCGGAATGTTTCCCTGTCACAGTTTTAAATGTTTTAAAGTGTTCAATTCAATTCAGCTCTTCATTTTAATGTGCTGACTCAACAGCTATTGGAGCCATCAAAAGAAGATAAAGTAAATAACACAAAACAATTTATAAAATGAAACCAAAACTAACGAAATATAGAAGGCAGTAATCTTCAGACTCACTGCTGTGTAAACCTCAAATCTTACATAACGAAATACACTTTCTCACATCGAGAAAGTGTCCTCAAAGGAGACAATAATTTTTCCAAAAAATTCACACGTTACTTGCAACGATGATGATGATGATGATAATGATGATGATATACTGATGTGATCGTTCCACGATCAGCGAAATAATATGAATAATTAATTTGTTTCTTACACAACTTTCTCGATTTTCCAATCTGATCGAGATGAAAATACAAATAAAAAGAATATGTAGGAATACACAGTAAAATCTGTTTGTAACGCAATGACTCAGGAAAAGATTTTTCTCCAGTTTGATTATGGTTGTCGTTTAACTTAGTTTCTTCTAGATTAAAAATTAACGTTACACAGAGTAATGAATATATTTGCGAAATAAACCAATGGAAAGATATTTATACGAATTAACACTTTGAAGTCGAAGCTCATCTAATTTTTTGAATGAATTTAGTCCTTAAGTCAAAGGAAACACAAGAATACCCTATTATAAATTTTAAGTCGCCAGTGTTGTTTATGGAAATAATAATTGTCTATTAAGAGTAACATAAGAAATCCACAAATAAAAATTGAGCGTTACTGATCGTTAAAGCAGGTGGTACATATAGTTACCATTGGGCTTCAAAGGGTTAAATGGTATTTTGTTTCTACTGACTACAGCTTGCTTCTGTCTTCATTTCTTTGTTTCTCCAGTAACCTGTTACAATTTTTGTGCATATTTCGTCAAAGGTCACGCTTAATTTTTTCCTGTCTATTCCAGCAATGTTCCTTTTCAGATTAATTCCATGAAGCATAGCACGGAACAAACTGATTTCAATATAAAACCAATACGCATTCAATCTGACTTTTTCAAGTTTATTTCTCGAGTTTCTTACTTTCAGTTTCTACGTTATACATTTTTCGTTGAAATCTCACTAATGTCCATTCTGTATCATAAATTATAAAAAAACTTTACATTACATAACTAATAAAATTTTTCCGATAAATAAAAGCTTCTCTTAGGGATATGATTTACTTTATACAAACCAAAGGCACATAAATATTATAAGAACCAAGTACTTTTACCGATTATTTGTTGGCTTACACTTACGTCACCAGACTCATTTTCGTACTAACAGTACCATTATGAGTAGTTCAGTGTTTACGCATTTAGTTAAAGATACATTACGAACATTTAGTCAAATGAAAAACGCCAGTATTATAAAAGACCTAATAAATTATACAAAAATTAAAATTCTTTAAAACTGAACTAATAATGGTCCAAACGGTGCTGAAATGCGTCTGGTAATGTAAACAAAAGAAGAAAACAGCGAGTAAAAGTAGTTTGTTATTTTAAAATTTGTCGCCTGCAGCACATGAAGGGTTTTAATATAATGGGCACAGAACACTCACTTCTTATCGATGTGCATGAACTTCATGTCCATAGAGTGTATAGAGGTGAACACATTGGTGGCGCCCTGAACCACGCACTCCCTCGTCTCTGGCATGGCGACTGGGGTGCATGTGGCCAGGAACACAGGCTCGTTGCGGCTACACAGTGGTAGGAAAGAAAGGTAGTGACCCTGGACCAGTACCACCTGTAAAACACAACACGAAATAATGCAAAAATTTCACCATCTCGTCCCTGAGTACAGATGATCAATTAAATGGTAGAGCTACAGATTTTCTTTAAACAGACGACACTGAAGATGACTGTCTTCTGGGTCGTTGCGCCGTGTAGTCTGGCACAAGTTTACCGACGTTTCACAGGTCCTTACTGCCTACATCATCAGGGCGACCGTCTTTAATCTCACCGCCGTGAAAACCTCAAACCCTACATAGTCATGATTTATCCAATAATTCAAGAAATGGCTTGCTGTTATTAATTCCTAATGTTCATCGTCGTTTTTACAAAATCTCGAAATTGATCAATAAAATAGGTAGGTATATTCAGTTTATATCTTCAACCCCAATTTATCTTAGATCCATTTTAATAATACCCTTACATCAACTCCTAGATTCATCAAATATGCAGGTCTCTCAATAACGTTTTATATGAAAGAGAAGTTGTACTTAATGATAAATTAAGCACCATGCCATGTAGACGTATGGGGCAGTGGAGGTAAATATCCACACATTCTTAACGTCGGTGCTAGATGGAGGCGAGTTCTCTATCCAAGACTTGCAGAAAACTGAACACTGCAAAGCCACCTTTATCTTGGTTTCGTGATAAAGCAGTCTCCCAGACAGAGGCTGGTTTCTAAATAGCAGCAACCCAATAGATATTTATCTGTTTCATTTTCTTTATGTTTCAGTGATAAATCCCACCTCGACTGTTGCTTTGCATTCAGCCTCATTTCCATGTGAGAGACTTTTTTGTTCGTCTTGTCCCCTGGTAAGGACAGTGTGGGCGAACGCGAAGGATGAAACAGTATCTCACCTCAAGAGCACAGGAACACAGCAACACGTCGCGTAAAAACGCGCATACCAAGCAGATAAAGAAGATATAGCCACGTGAGTTTTGCAGACAAACGAATTGAGAAATCTTAAACAACCTGTACAGACATAAATAGTTTTCTTTTTTAAACGTGTTTGGAAGTCGCCGATATTTTCTTTGCTTTTAACGCAGAATGTATAAACTGCGGTTGGCGGGCCATTTGCGACACGACAAAGGAGGTTACATGTAAGTAATGTTACAGAGTGAAACGCTATTCCGAAACATTTAAAACTGTAGTTTCAACACAGATTTTAATCATGTTTTTGTTTCTTAACGATTAAATTAAACATTTGTTTGCATGGTAGACATTTAAATCTTGAAGATATTTGTTTTTTTGCATTATTGCGTCCCGCAGTGTAGTAAAGATGACGGACGTTTAAGATGTACTTGCTGTCTCCATCATCAAACTCATAGCTCTGATAATGGTAGCAACAATCTCCGAAACGTCGGTAAGCTTCTACCAGACCATACGGAGCAATAACTCAGAAGACAGCTATCTTATTAGTCGCCGACGTTGAGAACCTAAAATCTCATAATAAAAATCTTTCCTGCAATTCTTGACAAGTAAAATTTACCAAAATTCTTTGCACTCCCCGCAAGCAAGTTTTCAAATATCAAATTCATGGATTCAAGGATTTTAATTTGCAGTTGAAATATGCGCATTATTGTATTTATCATGGAACTGAACTCACCGAAAATATTTATCAGGAGTTGCATTTCCTCAGCATATGTTTCTTTATTCTTTTTCTCCCGTCACGTCACATAATGCCAAAAGCTATGATTCTTGTTTATGCTTATTAATGTCCATAGACAGACAATTTTATTAAAATATAACACTTAACACTGACAGCAGACATTTCCACGGCCACCAAGAAGGCAATCTAATCAAGGATGCAGTGAAATGCTGATTACATTGTAGAAGAGATGCTGTAGATAAATTTGTACACTGGTTTCAAACAACACGCAGTTTATCCATGCCTCTGTGCTTGGCTTCAGATTACATATAAAGCAAACCAAACAACGAGTTTATACTCATTGATTTTCCTTCTGGCATGCGGCCAGTACCAACCCACAGTCTGTCTTATTGAATCATAGGTGCCGAGTACAGCCAGAGACATCTGCTGCGTGGTTTTGGATTACCTGCACATTTGCTATTATTTGTCAAACATACTGACATGCGTTCAGTCTACCTTCCGGGTGTAAAATCTTCGATTCCAGGAGCTTTTATCCACCTTGACATTTTTCTTACGGCTTTCATGAGGCTCCGTACGAAGTTTATGTCATCTTCACTTATCCCCATTAAGATGATGCACAAATAAATTTTAATATGAAAAGTTTTGGGGAATACAAGTTTGATTTGTAGAGATATCTAAAAGTTTACAATGTTCATACTTTGTCTTCCACGTGCCGTCCACTTATTTGTTTGTTACTAACAGGAATGGTATTTAGGCATAAAAAACAATGCAACATGGACTTCGATGGAAATTCAATTTAAAACAAAACCTTCACGACATGAATTCAAACAAACACAAACAAGCTTTATAATCTTGCGTCATCTAATTTATTTAGAGTGACAAAGAGGAAAGCATTTTTTCAAGTACTGAGTTCTCGGCTGTCAGTTCTCATTATGGCAATGCTTTTTATTAATCTGTTTTCACAATCTTAATAATATAACTTAAATCTTCATTATTACTAGATTTGTTATCGACGGTGTTAAACCTACCAGATCCGTATTACCGGAGCGTTAGTTGATTAGCTAAACTTCATTATCGACACGCGTTTATCTCTCTCTAAAATTTCCAGCAATAATAATGATTAACTTAGCCATAAAGATGCCTGTATTCTTGGTTGTTAGCTCCATGTAGTCTGGTAGATGTTCACCGACGTTTCAGAGCTGTTTGCTGACTCCATCATCAAGAAGATGGAGGCAGCAAAGACCTCTAAAACGTCGGTGAACGTCTACCAGACTGTACGGCATAACAACCCAGAAGACAGCCATGAGAACCTGAAATCTCACTCAGAACCATAGTCACTGAACCACACTGTTGCTCGTCTGGATACAAGATAAATCTGAGAAGCCGAGTTAAATTTTACGCCTACAGTTAAAATATTTTTAATTCTCTACTCTAGAGCAGTAAATGACTAGGTGACGTCACGCACTGGCTGCTGTGTTAATGAAGACGTGATAATAATCTCCCACATACACACATGTCAAGTAGCACGTCACACAGCGGGAATCGAAGTCAGGCTCCTAAGTACCAGACGCTAATTAACAAGCACTGGTAACGTTACGTAGGCAGAGTGACAACGCCAAGATTTACGACCAAGATTCAAGTTGCACCTACAGACCTGTATGTGCGCTGTGATTGAGCTCAGTACTAGGAACGCGTTGGCTGAAATTGAGCCCGAATTATCCATTTGACGATCTTTTACAGATACTCCATACGTTGTCGAACAAGCGTGAAACCTGTGGAGACATTGGTGATGTCTTTGACATGTCATCAACGAATGTCACTATCATACCACGAAGACAGTTGTTTTATGGGTTGTAACGCGGTGAACTCTCGCAAAAGTTTACCGAAGTTTCAGAGGCGAACGCCCTCATTGACCTGATGATGGAGGCAGCAGTACCTCTGAAACGTCGATAAACTTTTAGAAGACTTCAAGGCGCTACAATCCAGAAAACAGCCATCTCAAATGATAATACTTTAGCGACTCATCTCTGTGCATAATTTTGAGTTAGTACAAATTATCACTACGTTCAAGACGTGTCTATCTTCAACGTTCTGCGCCATGAATATTTTTTAATTGTTAATACATTATAAAAGTTATAAAACTTTTCTTGAAGCCTATTGTTAAGTGCCGCCTGCCCACACACCTGCCTCTGTTTATTTCATTGGTCGACATTGTTTAATATTCTGTGTCCCTCTTCCACTTAGGTTCCATGTTTGTCGCAAGAAATCTCCGAGCTTCGTTGACCGCATATACACGTTTGTGGCCAGCAGAGGAACGGGGAGGGAGGGGAAGCGAGTGCAGAAGGCATCTTGCTCCCCCTTTGTCCTCTCCATTTTTCCTTCCCATCTTACTGTGACGTAGCTCAGGTTCGCAGATATTCTGTGTCCATTACATTCGAAGGACTGAATAAATTGTCTTTG